CTGAGCTACGAGCTCGCAGTATTGCTTCAGCTATCCAATATTATATAGAGATCAGGGATTGTGATCCAGACAATTTGTTTGTTCTCTCAAAGCGAACTATAGAACTAGGCTAAGTCACGGTAGTGTAGTGTTGACCTCTGTGGAGGACTGAAAGAGAGTTGTATGTCCCTCTCCAATTTGAAGAAGTGCTGCAAGTTATGTTCGTTAGTACCGGCAGGTATGTATGGAACCTTCAGGTCCGCAGCCGTATACTCTAATCATCATGGGAAAAGGTAAATTAACCCCTTTAACAAGGTGAGTCACGAATCTAGTGATCGCCGCATCTGTATCATCATAAAAACTATTTCTCTTACACTGATATAAGTTACAAGATATAATAATACTATATACAAAAAAAAAGATAATTATGGAAACTAACAGGACTGGTTAATGAATTGCCTAGCTTGTAATTAAAAATAGATAGGAACAGAAAGAAATGAACTTACTGAAAGAAAAAAGTTGGTCTTAAACTAATCCCTTATAACGGTGACCAATGGTCTTTGAAACGAAAAATGAAATAAGTCTACTCTACTAGAAATTTTGGAACATTTTGAACAGTAATATTTACAAATTTACTCCAACCAAATGCAAATCGAACACTTTAATTACACTATACTATGGTTCAACTCGAACTGTAACATAATTAAATTTAGCACCTTAATGTGGTTGAAGTAAATTTGCACGATGTTTTGTTGTTGTCGTCGACCATTAAGATAGATAGGATGCGATTGTTCTTGTTTTCTAGTGGCGCCATCTGTGGCCAAGAATTCGACTTCTGCCACACTCATACGTCACACCCATTTATAGGGCGAACTCATTCATACACACATTCATTCGTCCACAGATTGTAATATTGACCTGAACCAGAGAACGATCAATCTCCAATTTAGTACCCCCAGAGGTATTGATTTGCTACAGATTTAGCGTGCACCCGACAGATGTAACGTGAAACAGTCACTATTTACTAAACGGGGAATCTTCGGGCGGCTGAATTCGAACTCACGTTCTCACAAACGTGAGTCCAGCGCCCTGCCAACCAGGCGCACGATGTTTTAGTTTGCTAATCTGATTTTTCCGCGTCTGTATTTGCGAAAAACTAGTTCTGAAACTAAAAGAAAAATTTTCAGAAAAAAAAACGAAAAAAAAAATTTTTTCGTTGTTAGGGTTATTTTTATGATTAGACTTATAATAATCTTCGATCACGACTATAATAATCTTCGATCTATAATAATCTTCGATCACGACTATTCATGATAATTATTAGGCCACAGATTTTTTTCTTTTTTTCCTCTCGTTTCTAACTATATTTTTATTAACTCGCTTTCGTGGGAGCAGGAAAGTTTGCCGATCCTTTTTAACTTGCTTGAGCATTTAAATCTCTACTTCAGTTCAAGTATGATGACCATCTAATTTCCTAAACACTACATTTCTTACTATATTTTTATTAATTCGCTTTCGCTTAAGCATGATTTTTTTTTTCGTGCTTGTTTGAGCATTTAATCTATTTGAGTTTCATGTATGATGACAATCCAAGTATCATTCGTTCCCTAAGCTCTTCAAGCCGAATTTATAATTTATCCAAATTCTGACCACTTTTCGATTAACTGGAGTTCACAAATCTCCACTGAAGCTTTTTATCTGCTGACAATACGCATTTTGATCGTTACATGTTCGTCAGATTATAGTTTAAATGAATAAATCGACATTGTAATCTTTTTCCAACTTTTTATTGTGTTTAAATTTTAATTGGAGCTCTGTCGTATGAAAGTATACGTTTCAATTTCTTCTTGGTTTTTACAAAGAAAAATTGTCTTATTATCCATAATCTCTTTCAATTGTTTTCTGTCTGTTAGTTTATTGTCTAAGAGTATTTATTGACAATCGACATTTTTACCACCCCACCAGTTTTTTTTATGTGTTTAAATTTTTACTGGAGCTCAGTCGTGTGACAATACAAGTTTCAAATGCTTCTTGACTGTTACAAACATACAAAATGTATTATTTCATTATCGCTAACATTATTAAATATTTTGATCTCGTTCCCGACTAGCCAAATTTCATCTGGAGCTCTGCTAATACAATTTTCATTTCTTTCCTAAATGACCGTTTTCCGACATCAACTAACTAAAAACCTCCGCAAAACTAAAAAGAAGAAGAAGAAAGTACTAAAATAAAATCTTTATAACTACGTTTTTCAGGTGGACTAAAAGAGAGAAAATAGTTTTATTTTGTTGTGTTCCATTTTTATAAAAAAAATTCTGAAGCTAATGACCCCACGTCTTACGGAACTGACACGTCCTACGTCTTCTTTTTAGGTCTGACAAAAATTAAATGCATTTTCTCCTTTTTTAGTCTAGATGAAAAACGCAGATAAAATTTAGTTCGTTTTAAATTTTTATTAATTTTAGCAATTTCCCTTCATGAAATTTTATACCGACACTGATCAATAATTTAGCCCTTCTTTATCACCGAAACTTATTTTTACGTGACCATAACTTTTCAATGCTTGATTTCTTTGAAAAAATAAATTAAAGCTTTATAGAGGAAGCGTGGTACGAAGGAGCTAACAAACCTGTTTTTTTTTCCAAAACGTCAATATCCATTAGTACTTTTTTTTAATGGCGCGTTTTAATTCAATTTTGCCATAACTATTTAAATGATAATATTATTACTATTTATTTGTAGTGAACAATTGAAAATATTTTTATATTTTTCAAAGTTTATGATAAAAATTATTTTCCCAGAGTAGAATTCTTGATGTATTTAGATTCAATGCGGAACATAAATATTTTCCTAGTAATCGAACTGAAAATATTTTCTTTTCATTCATAAATACAATAACATTGTTTTCTCATATGCTTGATTTGACAAGTTAAAGCCCACAAGATAACACAAACTTCTATAAGAGGTTGGGACACTAACCAGCTTTGTATTTAGCAAAGAATCTTTGGGTCAGTGGCTCAAACAATGGCGTGTAACCCTTTTTTGTTCTACCTGTCAGCCTTTATAGGATAAAAAGATCTTTAGAAACACTTTATAATTGTTAGTGTTACGCCGTGTCCATCATGTTACACAGAAACGAGATGATTTTGGGGGCGCACCCCCTTATCTTCTTTGTTCCACACCCTCTGGTTTCATAATCATGCCTAGGTCATCATCGTCTTTGGAACATTTTATTTACGTTTTAATCGTTGGCAACATCATGAATATTTATGCCATGATTGAGTCCTATAAAGTAGGTACGCCTAAAATACAGTGGCATTAAAAAATTCTTATCTTTTTTTTAAAAATTAAAAGTTGAGTTACTATATATGGATAAAAATAATGTCTTCATAACCTAGAATGTATTCGAAAATAATATGATTGCTGCAAAATTGCGATATTTTCATTTTAGTATGCTAATGTACTCGAACTTATCTTTTATGGTAAAATTACTATGTTTTAAAAATTATCGATATCCTTTCTAATTTGTTTTCCGAGAGTTTGTAACAATGCTTTTTGCTTTCGTAAGATTGGGATATAATTGTTCCATTTCATCATGTAGCTTGATATTAAAAATACAATATGTTTATATTTACAAATTATTTTTAAAAACTTTTTTTTCTCTGTAATCCTTAAATATATTTCTTTTTCAATCATCCGTTTTATTACATTATCATTTGATTTACTGAAATTTGGAAGTGTTCCATTAATTTTAATATTAATGTGTTTACAGTTTATTTATAAAATTATTTTTTTAAGAATTTCTGTCCTGCTATTTTTTTAATCGTCTGTTTTCTAAGAGAGTTTCTAATATTATCGTCTACATTGAATAGATTGGGAAATAATTGTTCTATTTTAGTCAAACATAAGAACCAGATCTTAAGAATAGACTTAAATGTAGTTCTTATGTATTAACTAACCCAGTAATAGTTAAGATCCTGTAGATCCAACCCTAATGTGTGACCGACTTATGCACTTTTTGAAACTATTTTTCTTTATATTTTGAGAATAAAGTTTTGCTTTTTCGTTGTGATTTAGTTTGTTAACAATACTTCCATATATTATTTGATTATATCGTCCATCTGATTTGATAAAGTAAATGCAAATTTTTTTTGTACAGAATCAAAATATTAAAATCTGAAAAATCTATTTTCTTCCATTAAGTTCATTTTAGTGCAACCTAAATGATGTTTAAATAACTTATTTATTAATAGATTTTTTTTTAATCAACGTGTTTTTCGAAATATATTTGTGAAAAATAATTCTAAATTTTAATTATTTCTTTCAGTTATTGTTTTCTTTTTCTAAATATGTATTAAAAACAAAATGAGAATATAATCAATTAAGTAAACCAACCATGGAAGTACCGTTTAAAATTGTGTTAAAAAATATTTAAAGGGATTTAATAAAGTTTGATTATTACAGTAAACAAACTCTTAGCATTGCTATAAACTCATAACAGTTATATTTTAGGGGCAAGATATCCGAATTCGTTGAAAAAGAGGTATGTTTATTCAAGGATACGTTTTTGTGTCTGATTTCGTAACTTAAAATATCGTGTGCACCAATTAATTATCATATTTGAGATCACCTATATATCGAACTATTAAGACTGAATTCTAGAAGGTGAAAATCCGATCATTAGATCAAAAGTTATTCAGGGTAATCTGTTTATTTTTGTACATCAAAAACTGAGATTAAACACTGGTATGTGAGCACATTTGTAGTACATAATTTTGTTTGTGGTATGGTAAGCACATCGTCAGTCTTTATTTATTTTTTTACTCAGTTTCTTAGAAAATAAATATTGAGTAAATAACTCGATGACGGATAAAGTCTTAAATTTAAACATTATTTTTTTACAAAAATAATTGTTTTCTCATTAGTATATTTATTTCTTAAAAGGATTTTTGTTTATCCAATTTTTTATTTATCTAATAAATTAATTTACTTATTTATTTTTTCCTTTCTATTTGCAGTACTCCTTATGATCAGAGACGTTATCAAAATGCTGCCGGATATAGGAGGCCTGGAGCTTAGTTATGTCTTAGATATAGGAGGCCTGGAGCTTAGTTATGTATTAGTGTGTGTGAATTTTAAAAGACTATTCAACATTTTTTTTTTTTCATTTGAGCATAATTTTTCTAATTTTGTAATTTGTTTTTATAGTTTTTTGTAATATAACTAATCTATTTCATGTTGTACATTTTTAAGCATTTCTATTCACTTTTATATTTTTGTAAAGAATTTTTATAATAAAGTACGTTAGTTATTATGTTTTGATATGTATTGGTGCATGTGCAAGTTAATTAAAAGAATAATAACAGCTTGCTGACAAGGAAAATAAAATGTAACTTTCTTGAAAGTTTTTATTTTTTTCATATGACATACTCCAAAATAAAACAATAATTTATGCTTTATATTTAACCGGCATCAAACTGTCGTCTCAATTTTGAGTTCACGACTTATTAATCAGGGTTCCCACGGTCCTTAAAAGTCCTTAAAAACTGCTTAGTTTTTATTTTGAAAATTAAGGGCCCTTAAAAGTACTTAATTTTGATTCACAGTCCTTAAAANAACCCCAAAGAACAAGGGAATTCCAGGGCCAAGCAATCAGGACAAACAAGCCTTCGTCGGGGACTTTTTGTTGGAATTAACCCGTGATTACGTTTCAAGGAGAGGGAAATTATGAAAACCTCCCACGGTTAGCCTGACAACAAAGGGATTCTTAACCCATGATTTTCTTTTAAGGATATTTTATGGAGTGAAGTCAGGAGCAGAATTCGTGTCAACCAGCCACCGTTGGGATTCGAATCTGGTTCACCTGATTGGGGGGCGAATGCTTTATCTCCTGAGTTACCGCGACTCAAAAAGAATTTATAATTATTTTTCAAAATATAATATGTAAGAGATCAATTTTGTGAAACTTCTTTTTTTAAATAGAATCAGTAAATAAATCTTCTATAGTAATAAATATANAAACAAGTTAATTTTCGATGCCTAAATAAATGATATACTTGAAGGTTTAAGAAAATGCTTTTATATACTTTTTTATAAATCTGATTTCATCTATATAACTATAAACACAATAGAAAAAAAATATTACATCCTACAACACCTCGTTAAAGTATGAATTGAATCACGAAAAAATTGAAGTTTTCTTGTTTGCAAATATAAAAAGCATCGTTTTACGAAAACTTTCTTTCCCTAAAAATTTGCGTTATGCTGTTGTTATAAAAATTACATTGTCTGTCTTCCTCATTAATAAAATTTTGTTATTGCTTTTTAAAAAATTAACTGAAAAGAACAGTGTCATAGCAAGAAAAAAAATTATCTTTTGCTTTCGAATCTCTTTTAAAAGAAAGGATAATAAAAAATTTCACTTCGGATTTTTTTACATAATTTATCATTCTTTCATTTGTTTTTACATAATTTATCATTCTTTCATATTTTTTTTACAAAATTTATAAATTTTTTTTTTACATTATTGCATAATGCATTTTTTAAAATAAAATATTCTATTGCAAATAATTAAAAAAAAAAACAATTTAAGGTGAAAAATTTTTTTCAAATTGAATGAAAAATTAAATGTATGTTGCAATTCAAACTATTATTTTTCATATCCGATTTTATTTTTCCTTTTTTAGTTAAGAAATAGCACTTTATCACTACAGTAATATTTAATGTTTCAAATAACTTCGTTTAAGGTTTTCGTACCATTACAACGAACCAGATCCAGTATTTAATGATGAAGTCTTTTGTTAGGAATAGTGTTATGAACAGGGCATGATTTCAATTTTCAAAATCAGTAGCAAAGTTTGCTAGTGCTAAAATCACTACTAGCAAAATAAGTTTTCATATGAGCAATTTTTAAAACGGAACTGCAATGAATGGAAAATATTACATATTTATACTCGTATCACAGCTTAAATACTCAAATGCACGATTCCGAATACATCGGTATAGTAATAATATCGTATTTAAAATATAGAGATTTTACAAAAGTTGTGGAAATTGTCTGGTTGAAAGTAAGACAACTAATTTAAATAACTGCAGAGGAAACAATTAGAAAATGACGTTGACTTAAGACGGCATAGTGACGAATTTAGAGCTTCAAAAAATTCTCGTGTCGTAATAACATGTTAAAAATATCGTTATTTGGAAAACCATGTGAAAAAGACTAAAAACGATAAATAACTACTGGAAAAATGGTCGGAATAATCAAGAATAATGTCCGTCAAAAGGTGATTACACAAACTCGTAATGCGAGTGTCGAATTATAGTATTAAAAAAAAAAAGGAAAAAACGGAAGTTAGAAAACCATGTTGAAACGGCTAACCATGTAAAAATGTGGTAAAAACGAAAAATAGCTTAAATAACTGCAGTGAGAACGAGCAGAAAGGGACGGGGATTTACGACGAAATATATGTGAATCAGGCGCATCAGAAATAGATTACTCAAACTTGAAATTCAGGTGTGACAATATCATCGTATTAAAAGGAACGAAGTTAGAAAATCATGTGGAGATCGCCAGAAAAACGACAAATAATTATTAAAAAAGTGATCGGAAAACGATGAGAATTAACGATGGAATCGTTAATCGACAGCGTCAAGAAGTGATCACTAATTCGAGATTCGCCTGTCGTTATAACATCGTAATAAAATTACCATAAATTGAAAAAATAAGACCATCAGAAGTTACTAGCAATTTTTCCTATTGCGTTTCTCTGTAACTAGCATTTTTTTTTTAAAAAAAGCAAAATAATTTGTTACTACTTGCTAGTCGAAGAAATCGTACCCTGGTTATAAATGTATTAGAGTGCGAGAAATTAACGTTAAATACTGAAGTGCAAGTTAATAAAATTGCGATAAAAAGCAAATGACTTGGAAGAAGAACGTGTACTAACGCTGTAAAGTCATAACTGTCTTTTGAAGTTTTAAAAAATAAACAGAAACATTTAATGCATTAATAATTTTACAATGAAAATCAAATTAAACAAATGTATAAAGTAGAATTTGTGATTTGAAATTGTGTACATTTCGCGTCACTTTTTGCACTTACATCAAATGTGAATATTTTGTGATCGACTTGTGGATTCGACGAGCATTTTTTTCCCCCGTACTCTTCGCTAATTAAGGATCAGAGTGTACATCAGATATTCCATATCTGATGTATTCAATACAGTCTAAAATAAAATATACTTTTGAAATAGTTTTCTTGGAATATAGAAATGTTTGAAAAGTTAGTTATATTGGTATACAAAAGTGCCAGAGGAACTTACTAGCTAGTTTCATTAGTTTTAGCCTTGTTCACTACTTATGTATTTTTTGGAAAGTTTATTTTAATTTTAATTTTTTTTTAATATAAATATCATTGCTATCCTCTAAATTGTATAGTTTGTTAACTCAATGAGGAAAATTAATGGTATTCAGTAAAAAAAATAAATAAATACGTAACTATCATTTCCTTGTATTTTCTGCTCACCAGAAAAAGAAAAAGTAAAGTAAAAAAATACGTTTTATTTACACAAAATTGAAAAAAAAAAGAATTTTCAATGATTAAATTAATTGGATATTAAATCTTCTATATATATTTTGAGCTTAAGATAATTGGATGTTAAATCTCTGCCTTATTTATGATAATATTTAAAATGATCATTAACTAAAATTGCTACGGTACTGGACAAAAGTAAATCATCGCTTTATCTTCGAAATCTGGAATCTGTAATTCGTTGAATATTTACTTCTTTTCCTTGAAATGAGACAAACGAATATTTTAATTCTTCTTTTGTCATGGTTAATAAATTAAGTTGACCAATCGAGTGCCATAGCCAATCCGCTAGCCAGAACTGATGGATTACTCGGAGGGGTTTCACGTCCAAGACTGGAATAAGACAGATTTCTTTTTTAGTTAAATTGACTTATGAACTTAGCATTGAGTCCAGCTGCTACCGTGTTTATATTAAAGGTCTCACATTTTTTGGCGATTAGAAGATGAGGTCAAGGTGGATGGTGTCAGAAACTGTTGGAGATCCACGAAATGAAGTCAGTTGATTTCTAATTCGCTTCGTGATTAATATTTCCAGCAAACTTTCGGTTTTCGTTAAGAAAATATGAGTTATGTCATATTTTTTTCAAATATGACCTTTAATGCTGACCTGAAATACTTCAGGCAGAAGATAACCTTTTTTTACCTTTTATGACAACATATACCTTTAAAAATTTCGAACACAATTAGCGGGTCATACTGCATTCACAATATTTCATATGGAAATATTTGACCTCCCATTTTCAAAAAATTGACGATTAAGTTTCATGTATTAATGCGGCGTCCAACGTACATTTAGCCTAGCTTGACGTTTGCTATACTTAATTATTAATTTTTTTCGTAACTTACTTAATTATCTTTATTTTAACGAATAAGATTTTTTTCCTTACTTATTTTAACATAATAAGAGATTTGCTGATTCCTACTTATTTTAACATAATAAGAGATTTGCTGATATAAAGCAATTAGAGTGGCATATTTCTATATTAATGAAAACATTGAAACTCATCTTATTGTTGCCGTTGCATTTTCACAAGGTATAGTTTCTTAATAAAATAATAATAATAAAAATACGGATTTTTTTTTTTACCATTTGCATAAAAGTTTTGAGGCTATTTTTTATGCGTAAAATATTTCTTTATCCTTAGCTAAATAGTACTTACATGCAAAATTTATTTATCCTACTCTCTTAGAAATTATTATGTTTTTGATTTCAATCATTATTTATAGATCTTATAAAATTTAATTATAATTATTTCCATTGTAAGATATAAATTGAAAAATAATTTCGTCCCAGAATGGACTGATCATAAAGACACGTCCCCTAGTGGAATATCGAATTCAAGCATCATTGGCTGCGGTCAGTGTGCGGTTGGGAGTCCACTTTGATCAGCCTGAGTAGGGACCGGTCCTCGTTAAACTGTTCTTCCCTAAACTTTTCCATCAGATCATCGGGATATCAAAGTGGAGACGCCATCTCCTATGAGGATTAAAATTATGATGGCATGTTTTCGGATCATCGTCGAGGATGTATCCCAGATTGTCACCAATAGCCCATTGTACAGCTCTAGTGCAATGCAAGTAATGAACTACAACTACAAAAATAATCTTGAAAATGATAATAAAAATATCGAAATGAAGAAGTAATAGTTGGATGTCTCTTAAGTTTGACTTAAGACGTTCACGCCGGGTGTTGCGCCTGAAAGCGGGACGGAAAAGAGAAAATACTGGTAGAAGAACTNAACTTGAAAAAAATCTCCAGAATATTAGTAATTTATTCTCAACAATAACAATTCACTGTAAGGAAATTTATCACG